TGGTACAAAATACTCAAGTTATTAAATTGATTGATTCAATAGAAAAAATAAAATGTGTGGCTGTGATTAGTACAAATCGATCGAAGTATATTAGAATAATATTCAAGTAAAAATATTAAAAATATTTTAGTCATAATATTATATCAAAAAAACGTTTGGATCTATTTAGTCCTATTTGTAGTTTTATAAAAATTGTGCATCTTTAATTTTTTGTTATCAAACACTGATGTTAAGCCTTTTTGTTTATATGCTTCAATTTATGGATGCGTTACAAATAAAATAATTTCGAAATATTTCTTCGTCAAAATAATCATCGCACCACTATACATACATTTGCCGCATTAATGCTAAATTATCAATATGCGTAATCGTATATTTTTAATATAGTGATAGTTAAAGGGTGATAATTACAAAGTAACTCTGAATCGCCGGGTCTACTATTTTCCTGTGCGCGGAAACAGTTTATACTCTGGTTAATGATTTATACGTATATGACGAGACACTCGGAATTATTTTGTTGTCATATGGGAGAAAATCGTTTTTACGTAGACACGGCGGACTGATATCGAATTATAATATATTTACGCGGCTGTATATTATCGGTTTCCTCTCATGCTTATGTGGTATTATATGCGTACGCCCGATCGATACGTTCATTGGCGTATTTATTATTTATTCCACAACGTTATTGTGGAATAAATATTCGGCTCTATTGCAAGTAACTATCAGATGTCACGGAAATAATTACGTTATTAAATAATTAGCGGCGTGACGGAACAGTTATCTAAAAGTTCTTTTTTTTTCTTTAAAGACATTCTCCGCGATAATAATCGTTTATCTGTCTGTACGATAATTTTTTTTAAACAGCTGTCTGAAATTTAATATGAGTCTCCATATTGAATATAATAAACTAGTAAATATGCTTTTAGTAACCATTTGGTCAACTCGACATTTAAGCATTATTAATTCACGTGCTAATGGAAAAAAGAGCTCTCCGATATTTATAACATTAATATTTAACACGCTTTTTAAATCGTATTGAAGGCTTTTGTGTATAGATATCGTACACTATAACAGCGGACATAAATCAATAGAGAGAGGAGCCAGGTTATTCATTTACGAACGTATTCATTTATAACACCCGGCGAGAAGAAGTAGCTCTATTCCAGTTTTAAGCTTGGTTAAGTGTTAAATATTCCACCGCAAGTTGCCTCAATTATTGCATTAGGGCGTAAGCTTAATTAAATATTCCATTGCATACAGTTAGAAGTAACAAAGGTAAACCTTTACCCGGCGACACTCCCCTTTTCGTCGGCGGCACTCGCGTAAGATCCAGACGTCGAAAACTTTAAATAATTACCGGGCGGGGATTATCAAGTTCCCTGGGGGAAACGCGAACTTGGAGGGTACCGCTACTCGACTTAAATCTCGAGCGAAGAACGCGCTCGCAGCATCCGGCACTGGCGTAACTAATGTCCTCGCAGACTGAAAAGAGGCAGAAAAAGATACAGGAGAGAAAGAAAAAAAGAAGGATAGAGAAAGGAAGAAAAAAGATATATATATAAAGATAAAGAAAAGGTAGGATTAAAGAATTAAAATTGCACCTACTTTGCATTATATTTCATCTTCTTAACGTGTATGTTATTGCACATTGTTAGAATTGAAATATAAAAGTGTTCAAAATTATAAAATTCTTTGCTCTGGATAGCAAGTGAAGGGACGCTTAATTCCTTTGCGAGTGGCATCTCTAAATGTCAATTACGCCACTGGTACGTCGAAAGAAAATGCAGAAAAAGGAAAAAAATGAAAAAAGGAAAAACGAGATGAGGAAGGAGAGAGGAAAGGATGGATGAAAAATTTACGAAGTCGAGATATAATTCTACAATATGAGTTAATTATTTAATAAGCTGGAAAATTAATTCCATCGCATCTTAATTAGTCTAGAGACCAGGGGAGAGTGGAAACGCCGCTGCACGGCGCGATCGTTAATTCAGCATTCATACGACTCGTCTAATGCGAGTTTTACATGGAATGCGCATCGCACGTACTCGAAACATTCGGCAATTCACGCTAATAAACGTCTTAATTTCCATGACTGTAAGATTCCCCAGGAGTGGCTCTCGCAACAGTGGTAGGAAATTAGATTTTATACCGTGCTTGAATCTGCGCGGCAAATTTTCGGATTTGCCGGTCTCAAACCCCGAAAATTTGAATCATAAACACATGTGAGGACGTGTTGATAGTTTAAAAATAATATCCGAAAAAGGTTTAACTAGCGATTGATGTAACCTGCAATCAATCGCTTAATTAGAAATTGTGTTGATACTTTTAAACTTTTTTTCACGGTGCGATGTAATTAGTGTGTGTTGATGGAATATTGGAAATCCACAATGCGAATAATCTGTTTACAAACATTTATATAAATTGTATATTCAGTCTATATCAATAAATTATAATATTTGCGTAATGTCCAACATCAGAGAGATATTTATAGAGCTAATCTCTAAAACACGAAGCAGAAAATACTCTATAGAACGAAACACTCTAATTAATTTTCGTCTCTTTCGACGATCTTTGACTATCGTTCCCATAAGTGCACCGTTTATTCTTCAAGAAAATAGTTTTTTATTAGTCCAATTTCGAGTCGCATTCTCCTGTGGAGACATATGACAAAAAAAGGCATATAACAAAAGTAGGGGGGGGGGAGGGAAGGACAGAAGGCCGGAATGGTGGTCAGCATGAAGTAGGAAGAGGAAATAATCCTGTCCTTCAATTTTACGGACCAGGTCGTCCACCCGTCCGTCCGTGAAGACGAAACCAAATTGCGGCCAATAGCAAGTCTCATCCCACTTCCTGAATATTACCGCCGAATCCTCCGCGCATCACTCTCAGCCGAGACAGGACAATTTCGACGTACCGTGCTTTCGAGCGTCGGCCGCACGACTGGGCTCCCGTCGATTCAGAGACGTTGGGAGGTCGACTCGGGCGAGTGGGCGCATCAGGCAAATGGAACGTGCGAGCGATTGCAATTTCCGTGCGGAATTCCATACGCGACGTGGCCTCCCCCCTTCCGCGTTCTCGTGTGGCCGTGCTCTGTCCTTAAACTCGATCACCGCCACAAAACGTTTCCCTATTTTCGTGGGGATGCCCTTGGCCGTTCTTTCGACGAATCCGCGGAGAGCGAAATGAATATATTCTACAGCATGATCGTCTTACCAGATTGCGTCGCAATACATTTTAGTATCGCGCGCAGAGTAAAACACTCGCGATTATTGCATATATGTCGTTTTCTGCAGGAAATAGCGACACTTCTCGTAGAGAATTCTATGCTCGCGATATTTTAATGGGATAATTTGCACGAGGTCCGCTTTATCTCCGTGCGACAAACTGGCTTCCGACTTCAAGAGGAGCGAGATGAGCGCATTAGTCAATAACTGCATTCATTGTGGCGTGCACTAATTCTGATTACGTGAGACTCTTCGTGCGTTTGGATCCGATTAGAATCATGATCTGTAAATCAGTCGAGTTACCGCGCGAGGATTATATAACGGATGTTATAGTACGTTGTCGCGACGATATACAATTTACTTATACCGTGCCGCGCCGCGCCACCACGTCATTAATTAATCTAAACGATTATACCTGGCCGTATTATTTGAAGCATCGAAATTAATTTAATTGCGGGAAACGCTGAACTCTCTATATCGTAGGAAAGCGGAAACGCTCGAGAAAGTTTCAGCCGCGCCCCAGAGATTAGAGCCGATTCGGTTTTGTCTTGGAAGAGACCCGCACTTCCCTTCTCGCCCCTTTAAAAAGGGGGTTTCAGACAAGTGGCTTTTAGAGCACGCAAGTTTCTTCAGAGAGAAGCTGGGCAAGTCTCTAACTGCGATTTAATTTCTGATGAAGACACAAAATAAGATATCATATTAACGAAATTATATGAAATGAGTATTGTATAAATGAAACGATGTATAATCGGTTCGAATACTTTAATTTTTCGAATACTTTATTGTTTATTTTTTTCGTAATTTTATGTAGGGTAACTCCGATATAATACGCCGCGCGAGGATTTATGCCGCAAAAGTCAGAAAAAATAGAAGAATTTTCTTGCAACCATTCTGTTACCTTTATGTTATATTTGTATTGTGTTATGATTTCAGTTTTTTACTGTTAATATTTATAAAATTATTGTAAGTTAAATCGATTTATCATTATAATAAATATAAGCGCAACCATAAGTAATTAATCTATATAAAATGATTATTGTAGGAAATATAAAAGGCTTCGTGATACATAAGTGTAGAGGAATTGTTGATAGAGTACAGCAAAATATAAGTGCTTAGCTCTTTAGATTATTTGAGTTATATTTTTTGAGTTATTCATTTCACCCGTGAATAGCCGTATAATCACTATACTCACCCATATTTTTATACGACAAAGATGCAAGGGTAAAGAATTTTTTTTCAATATAAAAAATTAATATTTTCGATTCCTAATATTTTTTTCATAGTGGTAGACAGTCTAAAGTTTTTACTGGTATGGTTCATTTAACTTAACCATAATACCTGATAAATTAAGTTTTTAATATGTGCGGCGTATATACCGAAATTACCATATGTCTTTTCTGTTAAATTGAGCGTCTCCAGAAATAATCTAATCCATTTATTTTTATTCCAAATAATTTCGTACAGAGGTAAAAGGAATTTTTTTCAAATTTTCCAAGCAGCAACAACTGAATGCGATGATAACATCAAAATGAAATTGTGACTTTTAATAATCATTTTGAAGCCATTTTAATGCCATTTTGATATCATCATGACTTTCTGTTCTGATTGTGAATGGCAGATGAGTATTTGTAATTTGTCTCTGAGATACCTCTTACGTCGTTTGCAACAGATCGGCGTTAAGTGGATAACATTAATTGGTTAGGAGTGGGGAAACACGAAAAGTTTCGGGTTCCTTCACGCGAGGATACTTCGACTAATTGGAAGATTACTTACCGTTCGCGTGCGCCGCAAGCAGGTCCCTCAGTTGTTGCTGGCCGGTGGTCAATTCCACGCAGCTGACCCTGACGCTGAACCTGGCGCCGGTCCTCTGCCGTTGCTCCGAAATTCCGCGGAAGAGCCACGCTATGGCGCAAGGAATTGCGCCCAGTGTATGGCCGGCCTCCGGTGTTCCCAGCATGGTATGAGACTTACCTAAATTACAGCGAAGAAATTTGTTAAACGTGGCGGATGCTCGTTGATTATGGGCAATGTAAACGTTGGGATCGTGTCGTCGGGGGCAAACGATATTCGGTGTTTAAACGTGCAATGTAAATGCAAATGGCGTAGATGAAAATTATTCACCGCAATTTGAATTAATTATAACTAGTTTACTGTCCGTTTATACTGCCTGCTTATTCATATTCTATGGAACTCGTAAAATTTAAATATATACGTATTTCCGAAATATTTTTTTTTGTTACTTTCTTACTCGTAGTTACTCTAAAATCCAAATGCAAATTAAAATCTGTCGCGATATAATAAAATAATTGCGGGTAACGCAACGAAAATCCGATGTCCACCCTCTCTTGTCGACAGAGACGATGACGGCTCAAAGCTAATATTTCGAATGATCCTTGCCAGACTGACAGATTTATTGACGTAGGGATCGAATTAACGCCCGTAACCGTGCCGCTGGTGCGACTGGTATGTGGACAAGCTTCATTGTTGATTGGCATAATCGCAATTTTCCCCCTCGTGTGTCGGGACGAATCAATTCACATGGATGAGTTCGAAAATCCTGTTTATGTATACGAATGGTGCGCGCGCGTGCGCGCACGCGAGCCGCGAACTGGGTGCAATAATTGCGTTGCCAGATTTGTGGTCGGGCTCGAGCGGGCCGCTTAATTTGTTTACTATTTAGTGGACGACAACGTAACGGCTAGAATGACAAATGGCGATTATGTTCGAAGTAGACGATGAAAACGGGCGAAAACGATCGATCGTCACCTCGCTCTTCTCGCGGACGGACGTGTACGGGCGCGAAATAAATATTAAAATTAATTCATTCGGACGACAATAAGGGAATACGACTCGCCCAGCGGAAAACGGGGCTCGGCTCTGTGTGTGCTTAACGGCGATTTCAGCACGAACTTGCGAAAACGGGCTTGTACCTACTGTGCGAAACTTTCAGCACGAAACTTTCGGCGAAATTGAAAGTCGAGCTCAAACGTTCCGCTGTTGACAGAGAAATAAAAGAGCTCTTATTAAAATCATAAAACAGTCTGATGAGAACGGAGAGACGACTTATGGCCGCGGGGAAGAGGGGAGGGGAGGGGCGGGTTGCGATACGGAGGACGAGAGATTGAAGCGAAAGGCGTAAGATCCTGCAGGCGGAGGGAAGCCCCCGTCGGCGATGGTGGAGTAATGGAAAAGCAGCAGCCGTCGTTGAATCTTAAACGTTATTTAATTGTCTTAATGTAAAACGGTGAATTATGTTGTTATTTAATTAGAAACGCGACGAGAGAAAGAGAGGGTCGGTCTCTATCTCGGTATAACGGACCGCGCGTTTGCGTTTCTCGCGGTGGAACTTTTCAACGGTTCCACTTCGGAGAGTTCGCGCTCCGCCGGCAAGATTCGAGCGGTCGAACCGCAAAAATTCCGCAAGAATTCATGCTATGCCGCCGCGAGATTCACGAGGTCGCTGACGACCGGGGTAGAAAAACGAAACCGGTAGCCGCTGCATTCTCAGACGATCGGTATAACACTCCCGCGTAAGGATACTTTGAAACGGATGCGAGTGATAATTAAAATTCCGCTCGAATATCTCGTTGTATGCGCAAAACGAGTGCCAATACACATCGCATGGTAGAAATTGCGTATATTTATCGTAATCTTACATATCGTTTCTCGTCATTTATAATATTTTTTAGAGGAATAGTGACTTTATACAGAGTGTACTCCCGGGTTAAATCGTCAAACTTAAAATGTGAATTTAGGACTTCAAAACAAACAAAATTTCTGTTTAGAAGTTTGCTTGCAAACACTTTGTTTAAGAGATGTTAACTTCTTAAGTTACAAAACTATAGGAATGAATAACGTCGAAATATTTCTTTGTAAAAAGTATATGAAGTGCCCGTTAATGACCTTCAATCATTAAAAAGAGAAAAGCAAGCATACGATGAAATTATGTACAATGTCAGTAATTCGTTCTTTCAGCGGTAGGCTAGACAATGTTGGTTTCATGGCTGGAGGCTATCATTTTAAACAATACATTTAATAATTACATTTTGATTATTGTAAAGCAGTAAGGAGGACAAACTTAGGTTATTCATATTCCTATAGTGTAACTAAAGAAATCAATATCTCTTAAAAGAATTAGCGTTTACGAGTAAACTTCTAGAGAAAAATTTTGATAGTTTTGAGGTCTTAAATTTATATTTTTAAGTTACGGCGCACTGTATATATAAATTCCAAGACGGATAGACAAAAATAATAAAAATAATTCAAAAGTATGAAACTACTGTTTATTCGTCCATCAGTAATAGTTACATTTAACAAACGTTTGAGAATTTTCGTAAATCAAATTCTGAGACTGCAAATAATTATTTCTAATTTAATTCCACATACTTTGATGTTTAATAGGCTTGTAAGTCATGCAATTAATTATAAATAAATAAATAAATTATGTCGCTTTGATACAAAAATGAAAAATATATACTTATATGGATTGCATTTATATGCACGCGAGATTACGAAAAATCAAAGAAATTCTTTCTCCGTCCGTACAGAACCGAAACGAGAGAGGAGTGTCACGCGCGGTTCCTTTGACTGAATCGCTTACCAAAGTTATTATTGTCAAAGCTCCGTGTTTTTGCGAGAGGGATGAGAGAGGGAAGTCTCGGTGCATCAAGCACGCGTGCTTCTTCCCCCTCGCCCGTCGTTGCATAATCCACTTTCACGGTCCTTCCGCGATCTCAAAGGCTTCGGCGGGGTGTCCGCAGTCATGGGGTCCACGCGCGCGCGGGGGTAATTAGGAACGCGCTACAAAGTGCAAACGGGCCCATTGTCGCTATATCTATATATATGTGGCTGTATGTACATACGTATCTCTCCGTTCGCCCTCTGTCCCTCCGTAAGAGACGAGTTCTGTTGCTTTGAACGCGCAAATCTCTCTCTCTCATCCCCTCGCCTGTCTCTCTCGACACCCTCTTGCCTATCTCTCTTCCTCTCCATTTTCCCTCTCTCACGGCTTCTCCGCACGCTTATTGCACGCGATTTTTCAGACCGCGAATAGCAGACGTGCGCGCGAAAACGCAGTTGGTTTTCCATCGGCGATTGCTTCGCAATAAAAAAGATGTGTGCTGGTCGTCATTTTAAAAATTGCCGTGGGCTGGCTGGATTGCCTCTGTCGTGCGTATATGGCATGCTTTCGTCTTTTCGTCTCGCAGATCCGATACAGATTTACTTCTTCCTCCTGGTTTCTATCCCACCTTCCTTATCCCTTTACTATTCTAACCGCGGTCGCTCTTCCTTTTTCGTTTTCCTTTTTCGCGTCGGAAAACGATGGTGTAAAGAGGTGAGAGAGAGAGAGAGAGAGAGAGAGAGAGAGAGAGAGATGTAAAAGAAGAGAGAAAGAGAATAAGAGGAATTGGAATAGCGGGGAAAACGGTGGAGAGCGCGGGGGGAGGGGGATGCGAGAGAAACGTTCGCGTAGCGATGATCAAAAGCAGTTTGCTTTTGCGGACTTGCTTGAAGTACCTTCGAAAAAGAGAGGGAAGACGCTGCGCTGGAGTTCGTTTGGCTTCCTTTTACGCGGCTCTTTGTCTACGGCCGTTAGGCTCTTATCTTTCCGACGCGCGCCTCCTCTTATTTTATTTTCGTCTCTATCGATTCCCCTTTCCCGCGCCGCGAGAAATCCCGCTTGACTGCGCGAACTTTGGCATTGAAAGTCGACAATTTCTCAATGCGCGCCGCGGAATTATGAAACCGTATCGGTCCAAGAACGAGCGCGAAGCCAGCTAATGGCTGCGCTTCGGGAATCGTAAGCATTATATGCGACGATGAAGTAAATTTTAGAAATAGCATCTCTCTCCGCGCACTATCATTTTATTCATGTGAATCTAGAATAATGAATAATTATCAAGGAGAACTATTTAATAATTTATATGTAGAATAATTTAACTTTCGTTAATATTTCACAATCTCGTCTGGCTCGTTCAATTAATATTATACACTGTATCCAAATAGATTTCCATTTATCTGTTTATATGTTACATATAAAAATTCCTTCAGAAAGATATATGAAAATATGATGCTGAAAATATGATATATGAAAACATAAAAAAAAACTCAGTAAGAAATATTCCATAAATCTAATTGGTTCTGATGCCGACTGTAAAAGCAAAAGTTTATCGCGCTTAACTGAACTTTATTTTAGTTTATCGATGTCAAAAATAAATTTTTATATTATTATTATTTATAAACGTCTACGATTATAATTGTAAAAAGAATTTATCGTTATGGATTATTGTTATATGTTGATGAGTGTTATTATTTTTATTACAAATATCACATATAAAATTATAAATTGTAAAAATAATCGAGACAGTAAATTGTAAAAATAAATTATATAAATGAGATATTTTAAATTAGATAAGATATTTAGAAAATACCTATTTCCCCACTACTATGTATATGAATTCTTAAATATTTAAGAATTAAAAGAAAATAGTACCTACATATTCACAAATTTTATAAAAATCTGAAATATGCATTTAAATATGAATTTAAATATATATTTAAATATGTAATATTTGAAATGAATATTTCAATTATAACAGTCTCCTTGAAAACATACATTTTATGCAAGATGTTCTCCCTAAATCCATTAGTCTGGAAGTCGTTTTCACGCAGAAAAAGCACGATGACGGGCTGCGGACAGTCTCTTGGGCTGCGCTGTGTTAAAATACGAAAGGTACGAGAGGGAGAAAGTGTGTCCCAGTGGCATACATTATCGCCATTCCTTCCGGTGTCGCCTCCTCACTCCTCATTCCTCTCTATTCCTCTTTGTCCTCGGATTCCTTCTCTTTTCTCACTCTCTTTCATCGCCGACATTACCACCCGAGGATTCTCTCTTCCGCGCACTTTCCACGCATAATCGTGCATTTGCATGCAAACTCGATATCACTACTTAAAATGTAAAACAACTCTGCGCCTTTGCCGGGCGCCTACCTTGCGGCAGCACGACGAAGAGAAGTCGAGTGAACGAAGGAAGGAATGCCTAAATAAAGAATTTTCGCGACATTTCCCTCAAGAGAGAATATCGTATATCAGTACGCCTGTGTATTTTATTTTTCGATCAATTTGCGCGCAAAACAGTATTGAATATTTACCTGTTTACCAGTTTAAAATTTTGATTTAAGCAAGTCTAGTCCGTGTTAATTATTTCTTTCCTATCCATTGTAAGATATTGTATATTTTTGATCTTTGTAAAAACATAATACAGATATATTTTAATATTATATGTACAATTTTACAAATCGACGTTTTGTTTATATTCATAACGTAGTTATGGATATTTTTTGTTCTAAATATAATCCAAATGTTGTCTAATTGTCACGTTGTACTCTCGAAGAAATATCACGACAGTATCAAGTAATACAGAACGTAATATGATAATGGGATATATGATAATGAGATATATTATATTTGACAAACAGATAAAGATTATAGTCAAACTCACAAACATTTGGAATATCCACATTTCGAATAATTATTATTTGATTCGTCTCGATTTTACACAGTTGTGATGCGCGAATAAAATTTCATCTTACGTGAAATAGGATAGCTTGCGAAATAAAAAATGAGGAAGATCGCAGGACATTGTTTTAACGGAGTTTAAAATAAGCATTGTTTCTTGAAAGGTGATATTTTAGAAAAGCCCCGAGCATCTTTACGAACGTATCTTCTTGAAAAATACAAGTTTGTAGATTAAATAATACATTTTACCTTTATTCGTGACAGATGAGAGAAAAATAAAATAATGAAGACATTAAAAGTGATAAAAATTAATATGATAATAATAATTAAGTATATAAAATTAGAAAGAAGTATTACATTTATTGCGAATTATTCCTGAACTTACCCAGACCAGCGTGTCCGAAACAAAATAGGCAGCCATCCGTTCCATTGATGACCGCGTGAATTACATCTGTAAGAGCGCTCGAACAGATCTCGGTCTGAAAAAAGGAATATAACGAACGCTTAATGTATACTGCTTTCCTGATTGCTATTACTAAACACTAATTAAAATATTGTTTTGATTTTTGATCAGCTTAATGACCGATATCATAAATTGATTCTAACAATTACTAATTGCAGTCAGTGGCACAAGAGCGTGTTATTCATAATTCTGTTAATAGATATCGTATGAGTCAAATTTTGATATTTTCAATACATTAGGCTAAAATGCTTTGAAAGTTAGATTTCAGTTCGGTTTAGTTATTGTTATAACTGGATAAAACACAATAAATACCTACATAAAATGGCATTTTTACAAAACACTGATTTTCACAATCTCTTCATGTTAACGCAATTGAAAATGTATGAATTGCTATAAAATCTAGATGCAGAAAAAGCGTGTCTTCACTCTGAAGAAATTATTTGATCAATTACGTTCGATTTGGAAGTCATGATCTGGAGTTTCCGAGATTTTTATAAAAAAAACCTTGATAAAAATGCCTCTATATTTTCAAGCCTTAATCGACAACGGAGGGAACTAGATGACGTATTAAATATAAATGCAGCGAAGCGTATATAATATACTTCAAAACCATATAATTGTTTTTCAAAAATATTTTCCTTCTCAAGAGAAACAGATAGCACGCTCTTGTGCCACTGATTGTATTTGCGTTTTCAATACAGCTTTAGGGCAGCCGAACGAACGCGATTTTAATTACGTCTGTCTCGCAATAATACTGCGACGAGAGAAAGAGGTGGTATAACGTCAAGCTTTTGCAGGACAGGACGAAGGGCTCGGGTTTCTCGTAAAGTGCTTAAGAAAGCGCGTCGGCGGGCCGGGTTTAATAAACGCGTGTAACATCTCCAGAGCGAAAAGCGAGGAGAAAGACGCAGGCGGGGGAGAAAGGGAGGGGTCGCGAGATTATGGAAGGTGGTCCCTTTGTTTGCTCTTAATGTATTCATAGACTGGAAAAGACTTTTCCTGCGTCGGGAAACAATGCCTGGGTCCGGCCGAAGCACCAGGGTCACACTTTAAAAAGGGCTCGGTCCATTGTTAAACGGTCGCAGCAGCCGGCCGTCGATTGATGTCGAGATATCGAGTATCGATGAGAATTGAGGGAACGGGAGAAATGAAGGTGGCGGGAAAAATCGGAGGGTCGTTCGTTCGGCGGGCGAGGGACGGGGAAGGGGGCGGGTTTCACGAATTTCCTGCGGAAGCTGCGGAGGATCCCGAATTGAGCCTGCGGCTGATGTGTCGCGAGCGATCGATATATAGAAAACGTCGCCAGGATCGGCTGTCCTTCTTCCGACTTTGAAATACGCGCATAACAAGCGGAGGACTCGGACGCGACGAAAGAGATGGAAAAAAAAACGGGTCGTGCGTTATGAGAGGAGGTTCCGCGGTTTACGGAGAAAATCGGGAGGAAGATGAGGACGTGTCGATGCCTCGGCGAAACAAGATTGAAATCTTCGTGGACGAGAATCGGATGAGCCCGAGATGGAAAAAGGGGCGGACGAGAGGCTCGTGGAAAGAGAAAACGCAGGGGAGGAAAGCGAGGAATGTATCGAGGGGTTGGAGAGAGAGAAAGTGAACGGAAAGGCGGTCGGAGTGGAGAGTCGAGGTAAGAAGCGAGACGCCTGTTGCCGAAGGACGGAGAAAGAGGCCGATCGTTTTCTCCCTTCCCTTTTTTTCTCTCCCGCGGCGGCAAAAAGGATAGGGAAATAAGGAGTCTAGTCCCTTTCCCAATATGGTAATACCAATCTGTCGTTGCTCGTTTCAAAGGGGCGGCACAGCGTGTAGCCGCAAACGAGTCTGTCGATACTACCGCAGATTTACACCGACTCTCCTCGATACAGATTTGGATGAAGAAATGTATTTCTTACGCGGCGCTTTGATAAATAAATTTCTTATCTAAGACGCGGAGTCGCTTATTCATGCGGATAATCGCACGATAACTAAATTGAGCTTCGCTGAATCTCATTATCGATAAGATAACTGTCGTACTTATGTAATGATAATGGGATATTTATTGTTGTATATAATATTAATTATTTTAAGAATAAAATATTCGACTGTCTTTATTTTATCGCGTTCAATTATTTTAAGGTATAATTTAGAGTCGAGAATATTCAATTGGTAAATAGAAGATATTGAAATAAACGCGGTCGCTTTGGCTCGACGTGCGAATTTCGTGTACGAAACCAATATCGAAGCCGGCGATATCCGGGATATCCGACACTTACCACGGCAACAACAACGACATTCATAATTATAACGGGATCATCCCGAGGGACGTAACGCAAAGCAAACACATTTCGCAGATACCTGCACCCTCCGTCTCTCGCCGGAGATCTCTCGCCCTTGAACTCCCCGAACCGTCGCGTCGGCATGACGGTTAATGAAATACGTGACCGGAGCCACCGTCATAATCTCAAACACTTGATTCCGCGCCCGTGCGACGGGAGAAATTGCGGAAAGGGGGTCCCGCCGCGCGCGTTTCTGATGCGTGCGCGAGCGAGCAAGCGAGCGCCCATCGATGTCGAGCCTTTGAAAATTTTCACCGGCGCGAGGTCACCCTCTGTGATGTCCGCCCTCAGGGTAGACGCCAGCGTGTAATGCTGTTTAACTCTCTCTTTTTTTCTCTCTCTCTCTCTCTCTCCCTCTCTCGGATTTCCGTTAAAAATGAGTAACAATAGCAATTCACTTCCGCTTTGATGTCCTTTTAATAATCGAAATCCCCAGAATTGATACGAGGAGAATAACCGGAAATAGAATCGAATGAAAATTAGTTAATTGGTTGGTCGGTCCTTTGTGCCGATTGTCGTGAAATATTTTTTTCGGATTTGGAAATTCCTGCGCGATTCTTGCAAAATAAAATGAAAGCTAAGACAACGTAAAAATTACATGAAAGAAAATCTTCGGAGTCGGAAGTAACGTTTATAATATCTATATAGATTATGTTAATTTAGAGTTAATATAGCTTCCCAAGAATAATTTTTCCATCGCTCACGAAGTCCTCTACACAATTTCGGCAACCCCCCTGACAATTGAAAAAAAAATGGTTTGATGCGAACGTGACGTCTCAATCGCGCTCATCTCGCGGTGTTTATTTCCAGCAGGGTAGCGCGAATTAAAAGACACGCGCCGCGGTGTGACTTACAAGCGGCGTCGTGTCATCGTGCTCGTAGTCGTTTGAATTCGGCTTGCATGACGCGTTTCGGTAACGCAATATTGGCGCACCGGACTGGAATACCAATCGCGTGGAGGGTCGGATGTACCGCTCTCTCGCAAAGCCCACCTTCGGCCTGCGAGGAAGAATTCACGACGGAGAGACCTTCCTCCCACTTTTCCCGCTTTCGATTTCGCCATCTCCTCTCCGTTCTTCTCCCTTATTGCCACCCCCTTTCTTCCGATACCTCTTCACCCCCTTTTCCGAGCGCGAAATGTAAAACTCATGTCGAAAGTTCGGAAAGAAGCTGCGAGGAACGTTCCACCCTCACGACGCTGAAGTGGCGATGAACGAGGAGGGGTTCCCTTAATGGCTGGAAATAATCGAATGATCTTTTCTCTCCCTCGTCCGCGTCGTCGACGAATCTCTTAATTCGCAAGTTTTCCAGATGCCTCAACAGCAAACGTCTCGTGACGTAATCGAAGTGACATTACCGTGGACATTCCTCAACTTGCAAGCGGCGGCGCTTCCACGGCTCGTGAAATTCTTTTCCCTCGATGTTCTTGCGAAATACTTTTTATTGGCGATAAGGGCGCGCAGTATGGAAGTTATTCCTTTTACATTGTTTCTCGCCAATTTTCTATGTTAGGAATAAACGTAGTTAATTCAGGAAAAAATATTTCTTGATATAAAATCTGATTTGATTTTTCTCCAGCATAGAAGCAAGCAATTAATTATTCTGTTATTCAGATTTTAATTTGAAAAATTTTAATAGAGAAAATTAAAAATTACGAGAAGAAATGCCGAGCAATTAAAATCGATCAGAGGCGAAATTATTTCGCCTCTTTGATAAGAAATATTGTCTCGTTTATTTAAAACATCGCTGCAGGGAGAGCTGCTATTTAGCGCTGTGCTTTTGTAAAAGCATAAGCCAAAGCCTATCGCAGGCAAATTTACATAAGAGCATAGCGTACAAGCGTCTCCGGCCAATGAGGCTTCTGGTATAAGCTTTACAGTACAATGCAGCGGCTTACGTCGGGCGCTTCATTGGCCGACGCGTTTATATGCTACGACGATGTTCTTATGTAAATTAGCATGCGCAATGCCGCTGACGTATCAATATTAATATAACTATAGAAACAGTGGCAAAAGGCGACGTAACCTCATTAAGATATGCACAACGCCGAGACAGCACAATGCCAGCTTGGAATTAATATTTACTCACATTATAATAAAACGCAATATTAAATTCAGACCATATATCGCGCGCGAAAACAAGATCTAGCTAGAATGAGAGTCGAAATGTGTTTCTTCCTACACGGAAAGAACGATTTTGTTGAAAGGTCTAAAAATTTTGCTAAAAACAGATCTGAAAATAATTTTTTGTTGAATCATCAAAATAATTTGTTGGAATGTCAAAGCTGATAAGCATTGCTATAAAACGTTTTTATATTCTAGCAATCACTTTGACTTTCGCACAAAATTATTTTGATTATTGAACAAAAATTATTTTCAGATCTGGATTCAGCAAAATTGTTCTTTCCGTGTAAGTATAATTGCTTTTCTGATATTCATTACGAGACACTTTTCCAGATTCGTCTCGATGACGGCCATAAATAAATGCGCCATTAAGTGGCGTGCTTTTTCGAACAGCAGATAATTTTATCATCGCTTGTTTGTTCGCGGCCGTTCGATTCGCGCAATAACAAATGCGAGTCACGTAATCTTCTCCTTCTGGCGCGATCATGAACGTTAAAATGGAAAAAACGTGTTGAGCAGAAATTTTGCTGCCAATTGAAAAAAAGGACGCGATCAGCATTTTTATTCTC